TCCATGTCATTTCATCGCATTTTGTCATTGCCTCGGTTTGCGTGCCTCAGGGCACGCATTTCGAGGCACTTCATTTTTATCCGACGGCATCCTATGTGAGTGTGGCTGAGGCTCACTCATGTTGGTATAAGCCCATATCATGTTTTCACCTCATTTTTATAGCATTCTGTCGTCGCCTCGGTTTGCGTGCCCGTGTGCACGTATTTCGAGGCACCTCATTTTCATCGCATTCCATCATTGCCTCGGTTTGCGTGCCCGTGTGCACGCATTTCGAGGCATCTGATTTTCATAGCATTTCACCATTGCCTCGGTTTGCGTGCCCGTGTGCACGCATTTCGAGGCATCTCATTTTCATTATATTTACCATTGCCTCGGTTTGCGTGCCCGTGTGCACGTATTTCGAGACATCTCATTTTCATCGCATTCACCATTGCCTCGGTTTGCGTGCCCGTGTGCACGCATTTCGAGGCATTTCATTCCCATAGCATTGTATATGTTAGGATTGTATCTTAATTGCATTTCACGCATATCTTGCATATTGCACCATGTCCGGAATAGGAGTTAGCTCGGGCACGGGAAACGAGGTACATTTCGTACTCCGAGTGACAGAATGTGTCTCAATTTCCCAGTCACCGACACTCCGGATTATCCATGATGGAGTTAGGTTTTAGCTGTGTTTTCATGTGCATTCATCCTATATTGAATTGTGCATTTCGACTCCTCGGCCATCATGCCTCGGTATGCGTGATTGGTGGCACGAGGATCGAGGCATGCATATATTTGTGAAAATACATTGCTATGCCCCTTTCCTGCTCTCTGTTGCAGCAAAATGAAGAATCAGCAACTTTTCGGAGCTTGGTACGCTTTCCAAGAATAACTGCTAAACAGAGGCTAATTGGGGCATCCCGGTGGATTTCCGCGCAAGACAACTGAACCATTTAGTCCTAAAAGTTTTCTTATGCTCCATTTAGTCCCATTTGCACATCAATCTAATGTTTGAAACATTAATCTGATGTTCGAAATTTAATATTCGAAACATTAATCTGATGTCTGAAATCTAATGTTCGAAACATTAATCTGATGTTCGAATTCTAATGTTCGAAACATTAATCTGATGTTTGAAACATTGTAATGGGACCTTTCAGTCTATAAGAAAACTTTTAGGACTAAACAGTGTATAAGTTATTAATTTGGAATTTATTGGTGCATTCCCCAAGTTTTGAAAAATTTACCCATAAGTCCTAGTTTCTGAAAAGTTGAACCATTTAGTCCTAAAAGTTTTCTTATGCTCCATTTAGTCCCATTTGCACATCAATCTGATGTTCGAAACATTAATCTGATGTTCGAAATCTAATGTTCGAAACATTAATCTGATGTTTGAAACATTGTAATGGGACCTTTCAGTCTATAAGAAAATTTTTAGGACTAAACAGTGTATAAGTTATTAATTTGGGATTTATTGGTGCATGAAAATAAATGTTTTCAAAAATTGCGAGGGAAGTAAATTGATTTTCAAAAATCAATTTTTTTTAATTATTTATTAATCTTTTTATCCACTAATATACATCACCTACAAATTCTATTAAAGCCAAAAAATTGAAATTTCTTGCTAAGATTCCAAAGCATACACCAACCATGAGGGTGTAAAGAAGACAGTTTGATAATCAGAAAATTCTCCAAAGGTAAATTTTTGCAATCTTCTCATTTTTTTCTTGTATTTTCTTTATTGTTTTAAATATGTGATATTTAGGTTGTGGAAGTGGAAGGCTGAGCCACTATTCCTCAGATTTCTTTTTCAGAATATGGATTTAAACATGTGATTGAAGCTATCAAGACTTCCATATTAAAAGTGTTAAAAATTCTATTCTTGACCAATTTTGAACATAGAAATGGATTTCATATCATATTCCATGAGTAAGATGATGAATCTTTAACTACTTTTAATGAGTTATATGTATTCCCCCCTCTCCCCTTTCTTTCATATTTTCTTAGAAATTCTATAGAGTTTTCATAAGCTTTGTAAGACTTCCCCTTTGAAATGGTGGCAATCTAGTCTCTCCAATTAATAGTATGGATTTAGGTATTAACTTGCCTTTATTCACAAAGAGATGATGTAGGTTCCCATCATTTTTTTAGGCTTGAATTTCTTTTTGTTTTGATCCATTCAATTTGCGAATTTATAACAAAATATCTGTTGTCCATATGTGTTTATTATTGTTGGGGGTTGTAGCCCATCTACCTCTTTCTTAAATGGTTTTTGTAGATGGAAGAGGTAGAATGAATGAAAACCCCTCGGAAAGTGTCCTTGGCTTCTGTTCTGGAAAGGCTAAACTAACTCAGATTCTACCCGAACGAAGAGTTCGACCAATCCATTTTCTATTTCGACCAGTCATTGTTATGCATAGCCAGCTAACTTCTCCAAGAGCAGAGCATATAGCTTTTGGGGGGTGGTCTCTTGGGTAATTCTGGAGCTGATGGGTGATTTTTTCTAATTGTTTAGTATGATTTGTTAGATTCAGCAGTAACTTGGCTGAATTAATTCATATTTATAATAACTCCTCTAATCCCTTTTCTTTTTTTTGTTCTTTTTTTTTCGCCTTTTATTATTTAATTCAATTGTTGTAATAATTTTCCCCCATTTTCTTCTTTCTTCTCATTTGAATTTTTGTAATAATCTTCCAACCCCACGTTTTTTTATCCTTTTTATTTCTATGATTTCCATATCTGTTGATAAGAATCAAGTTTTATTGATCATATCCATACCTTACATCCATTTTTCATGCATTAGGATTCAACTAATTTGTATCTATGGATTTTTATCAATTCTTATATGTGTAGACACCCCATTTTTTACGGCCCTTACGACTTGGACATCCTTGCATGCACACCTGATGATGAGTCTAAATGCTCGTCCAAAGCTCGAAGTTCTCAACAGAATGCCCTAGCTTTAAGCCTTTCAAACCCTGTATCTTTGTTGTCCCAGTTTTGGACCAAGCCTAGCTTTTCCAGCCTGCAGCCTCTGGTGGCCTGCCGACCACCACTTTTGGACTATCGGCCACTGATGTGGCTTGCCGGCCACTAGTGTATTTTGCAGATATTTTGTGACAGTTGCGCCAATTGTTTGCACAGATGCATGCATCTATCTCCACGTGTAGGGCTGGATCTCCTTGGGGGAATTTCATGTTTTTTATATATAGAAGACCTCTCATATTGTTTTGAAGGTTAGAAATTTTTGAACTCAAAAATTTTCCTCTCTATCTACCAGATCTCTGCACTTTTGCTTACAAAACTTCAACCTTTGCCTATACACCCTTAACCAAATGACTTAGGCATCGGAGAGGTTTCCGGCACACACCCGCCGGCTAGCTCACGTTTGTGTTTTCAGGTGACAAAGCGACGTCGTACGGAGAAGCGTGGACTTGGTCAACAGGATTATACGAGGAGAATTATTTCCTCCCCGTACAATGGTGGTAATTATGACTCATTGTAATGTTGGTTAGAACATTATTTTTATTATGATCTAAGAGCTTATTAGTTATATAATTGATATTTAGTTATAATTCGTTTGTTTAAGTTATGATCCCATATATTGAGTTATAATATTTGCCATATTATAATAATCAAATCACAAATATCATAACTTACTTATGGTACACCATAGCATTAACCCAATGTTATAACTTAACAATATCGGTTGGTTAGTTTCATAACTCTTATATAAAAAGTCATATATTTTAATTTAAAAGAGTAGTTTCATTCCCTATTATTTATTGAGGTCGTCTCAAGACTAAGCCTAAGAATTTCCTAATTTGTGTAATTAGAAATTACATATACTTAGAAAGTCCCAAACACTTTTGAGGGCAAATTTTTTTTTATCAATAATGTTATTATTTCTTTTTCCTTTTTTAGATTAGACCGTGTTAACAGGTACTTTAAGAAAGGACATGACTCGCTCCAATTGGATATTAGAACTGGACTGTACCAATTTTGAACTCATTTGGGGTTTGTCTCAATGATTCAAATCGTTCAATATGTAAGGCATGTTAATTATGCCATCCATGTAAAAAAATTAAATTGATTAAATATCAATAGCTATTTGATCGGTTCATATTTGTGTCAATAATTTATTTTTAAAATCATACTGACTGTTGATACAAATTTAATCTAATCAATGATTTTTTTTTTTTTTTGTAGAGATGAAGTACTTAATGAGCTATACATATTGAACGGTTCGATTCATCAATGTGGGTTCTATAGTGGGCCCATGTAGACCTAATAACATGTTTGAATTCGAAATTGGACCGGAGAAAAGACACTGCCTTCTAAGAATAGTTGTTACCAAAATTTAAAATGACCATACATTTTTCAAAAGATACATTTTTGTAAGAAATTTATAACAATTTCATATTTATTAACAATAATATTTAAGACACAATAATGTTTTTTATTTATTTTCACTACAAGAAATGTCACTTTTGGCTACCAAAATATTGGTCGCCAAAAGTCACTTATTTAGTCGCCGAAGGTGTTTAGCGACCAAAAATTTTTGTCGCTAAGTTCGTCGCCTTTACCCTGTCGGCGATAGTATTGGCGACTAAAATTTGTTTGGTCGCCGAAAGTGTACACATTTGGCTACTAATCTTAGTTTAGTCGCCAAAAGGTATGTTTCCGCCACTAAAGTATTAGTCGCCGAATGAGGCTTTGTGGCTACTAACTTGTTGTGGTCGGGGAAGGTATCACTTTTAGCTACTAAATAATTGGTCGCCAAAAGTACACATTTGGCTACTAATCTTAGTTTAGTTGGCAAAAGTTATGTTTCCGCCACTAAAGTATTAGTCGCCGAATGAGGCTTTTTGGCTACTAACTTGTTGTGGTCGGGGAAGGTATCACTTTTAGCTACTAAATAATTGGTCGCCGAAAGTACACATTTGGCTACTAATCTTAGTTTAGTCGGCAAAAGGTATGTTTCCGCCACTAAAATATTAGTCGCCAATAGTTTCTTTCTCTCATTCTCAAATCTTTTAGCTACTAATTATTTGGTGGCAAAAACGTTTTGGGTTATGTTTTTGCTACTAAATTATTAGTAGCCAAAACTTTTGATTACCTATTTGGCTACCTTCAAAAGCATTAAAACCGATCCTCTTGGGCCCATTTTCTGGAAAACATTTATAAACACATAGAATAACATGGTTCAAAGCTCGATTTGAGAAATCAAGGCCCAAGGGTGTTTAATTCAAACTCAATTTCAAACTACACTACAAGAAATGTCACTTTTGGCTACCAAAATATTGGTCGCCAAAAGTCACTTATTTAGTCGCCGAAGGTGTTTAGCGACCAAAATTTTTTGTCGCTAAGTTCGTCGCCTTTACCCTGTCGGCGATAGTATTGGCGACTAAAATTTGTTTGGTCGCCGAAAGTGTATACATTTGGCTACTAATCTTAGTTTAGTCGGCAAAAGTTATGTTTCCGCCACTAAAGTATTAGTCGCCGAATGAGGCTTTTTGGCTACTAACTTGTTGTGGTCGGGGAAGGTATCACTTTTAGCTACTAAATAATTGGTCGCCGAAAGTACACATTTGGCTACTAATCTTAGTTTAGTCGGCAAAAGGTATGTTTCCGCCAGTAAAGTATTAGTCGCCGAATGAGGCTTTTTGGCTACTAACTTGTTGTGGTCGGGGAAGATATCACTTTTAGCTACTAAATAATTAGTCGCCGAAAGTACACATTTGGCTACTAATCTTAGTTTAGTCGGCAAAAGTTATGTTTCTGCCACTAAAGTATTAGTCGCCAATTGTTTCTTTCTCTCATTCTCAAATCTTTTAGCTACTAATTATTTGGTGGCAAAAACGTTTTGGGTTATGTTTTTGCTACTAAATTATTAGTAGCCAAAACTTTTGATTACCTATTTGGCTACCAAAACATTTGGTGGCCAAATAATTTTTTGTTTTTTTTTTGAAAAAAAAAAAAATTTGTAAACAACCTATATTCATTTATATTACAACCTGTACCCTGTATAAAACAATATAATCTATCAACACCAAAATATGTTATCAACTATTAAAGCATTCAACAACGTGCCTGTACCCTGTATAAAACAATATAATCTATCAACACCAAAATATGTTATTCAACCATTAAAGCATTCAACACGTGCACACATTTCTGTTCCAAGCATCCAAAAAAGTAATCTTCAACGTCCAATTCTATATATATTACAAATTCCATACAGTCCAAATCTAATCCAACATCAATAATTTAAATCCATACATAATTTAAAATCTTCAAGCAAACACTTGAAGTGACTCAAAACATCCATATGGCAGCCTAAAGAATTCTACCACAAAGCACAAGCACAACCACAACCAAACTAATCTTCAAGCAAACACTTGAAGTGACTCAAAATATCCATATGGCAGCCTAAAGAATTCTACCACAAAGCACAACGACAACCAGACTTCAAACAATGGCTAAAGAATAACTAAAATGGTCTCTTCTCCGCGATACATTCACCTCTCATACACAAATCCTTCGATAGCGTTGAATTTTTTTTTTAGAACTCATATTAACAAAAGGAGCACGAAAAATGATAGCAAAAAGCTAAAGTCATGAGCATTAGTCAAATGCATCGTCATCATCATCAGGAAGGGGCTGGCTAGCCGCTGCAGCAAGCTCAGCTTCGTGCCTGTAAAGAATACCAAAGGGATAAGAAACACCACAAATTGATCATTAACAGCAACTCATAAATTTTCATTCCTGGACTCTAATGTTCCCCACAAGTTAAAAATTTAAGAACTGTGAACCACCACCACCACCACTACCAAAAAATAAAATTTGAAATTTGTTTACAAAATTTTGTTTTTTGTATTTTTTAATCTTTGGTGGATTTTTTTTTCATATTTTAATCAATTTTTTCTTATATGTTTAAATGCACCTAATCTAGATGCAACTAATGATATTATCACACTATTTAAATGAACCTGTAATGCCTAAATTGCAGTGGAGCAGTAACCTTACTGCTTCACCAAGGCCACCCTTAATTCCCCTTACTTTGATGAAAGCACAATTGAAAGAGTTGCCTTTTGTTTCAAGTTGGAGCTCTCATACTGGTGCTTTTTTTCATTCTCTGGGAGGCTATCTTAAAATTTTCCTTTTATCTCTTCCTCTTCCCCCCCCTCCGTCTCTTCTCTCTCACTTAGAATGTTTTGCTCTCTCTCTCTCTCTCTCTCTCACACACACACACACACACATTCTTTTCATTTGTGTGAGGTGCAAACAAAAAAATTATTTGATGCGGTGCTCTTATTCTCTGCGTTGATTATGTACAACAGTCATTCTTGGTTTGTTTTGAGTTGTTGCTGTTGCTGATATCTAGTCAATGAAATTGGAAGAGAATATTGTGAAGCTATTATGTGGAACATGTTTCCTCTCAAAGTTTGTAATATTATTTTTAGGTGACCTTGGTTTTGCTAGAACTTGGAAATGAAAACAGATTATGATATAAAGACCAGAGAGTGCAAAAGAGAGGAGGGTGAGCAAATCCAAGTGAAGTTCATTACATCTCACATATGCAGCAAATATTTGTGTACCCCAAAACTTAGTTCGATTTAGGATTAAGGTGCCTTTGTTATATTTTGTTCTTTTTCATTGACAAAATTTTGTTGTAGTTCCCAAACATCCTTTGTCATTTGTACAAGTAATAAAATATCAATAAAAAGAAAAATTGTAACCTTCAAAATAAGAATATATATTAAGAGATATATCACAGAATATTGACATCAATTTAGATAAATTAGAAATTATTCAAATATCATGAATAATATTCATGTATTGTGGTCTTGAAAGTATGTATATATGGATGAACATATTGTGGATATTTTATTTCATCTTTTCATGGCATGATTAATCGGAATGCTAATATTGAACACCTCCTCTTTATCTCATGTAAATTTACACAATTGGTTACTGATAAAAAAAATAAAAGAAGTAAATTTAACCAATTGGTTCTTGGACAATTGGTGCATCATGACACTGCTATTGGATATAACTAGTTTTGAGGGAAAATAATTCTTTTGTTAGACTGATTTTAGAAAGATGTGGCAGTGTGGTTGAACAATGATTGACCATAGTTTGGTCTTTCATGACCAACTACAGTACAAAACACAATGTCCTAATGTACTTAATGACTTCAGTTATATGGCTGCTTCATATGTTTGTTAAGGCTATGGATTCAATCTATTGCCCTGTGCTAGAAGGATCTTAGCTGCTCAATGTGGGGGTGGGGGAGCAAGGGCACATGGAAGAGTCTAAGGTCGGGGATGCATCTAGGGGAGTATTTACGTATTTTATATATAAATTTATTGTAAAACTTTAAATTCTTAGTATTTTGTAGCCTAATTAGTAGACAAAGTAATTTCTGAATATGTTAAATCAATTAATTAATTGAACAAAAGGCTTATAATAAAAAAATATTGACTTATCATTATTGACTTATCAACCCGAAGTAAATTGCGAAGATCTATCTGAGATAGATTATCAGAGCTAACTAGAAATAAGGGGCACTCCTACAATACCTGATTTTTGGGTCAATATCCCCTAGATTAAACACTTCCAAGAATATAAGAAGAAATTGAAGCTTTGATAGTTCATGCAATTTATCAAACAGTTAACGGGCGAGATAGTGAAATCATATGTTCAAGTTGATAGCAGAAAGGGAAGTAGCTACATAGATTAAAAACCAACAATGGCTACATAGACAAAGTGATTCAATTTCACCAACATTCCCCCAAAAAAACACAAAACACCATGACCAATGTTTTGAGCCAAACAAAATGTTAGGTCATTATCATTTTTAATATGAATCAAACAAAAACTGTTTTACAACTTCAAAGTGGTCCTTCAAAAAAATTGATGGAACCCATTAATGGAAAGCTAGAATTAGAGCAAAAAGTGAATGACCCAATAGAGTATTATGCATTACAAATCATACCTTCTGACTATTTGAAGAACCCATGTGTGTGCGTGTATGTGAAGCTCTATGGGTTTTTGTGAGTGAATGGTGAAAGAATGAGAGACAGAAAAACAGAGCCGAGAGGGAGAGAGAGGATCTCAGGCGACGGTGACCAACAAGGGGGTGAATCGGTGCTCCAGTTGCCGGCCAACGTGAGGAGGAGCGGCGGTGAGAGTGGAGGGGAGAGGAGCAGCGGAGAGGGAGAAGGAGCAGCGGAGAGGGATGCTGAAGAGAGAGAGAGAGAGAGAGAGA